TACACATCGCTGGAGGTCGAGCCCACCCCTCGCATGCCATGCATTTCCATGAGGTGCTTCGAATATGGTTTTGTTGCACATGTGGCTTTTTCGGCCAAGACGAGCTCAGGGGTCTTGCAAAGCCCTGGGTTCAGCCCATGTCGATGACTCGTCACGAGCATCTCGACAGGATCTCACGCGGTGAGTTTCCCAAAGCCTGAGCTCAGCCTTGTAGTCACTCTTGTGATGGTGGAAATCCTGGAAATCATCTCTCCTCCTCATCCTCGCCCTCCTTCTCCTCCTCCTTCTCCTCCTCCTACTCCTTCTCCTCCTCCTCCTCCTCCTCCTCCTCCTCCTCCTCCTCCTCCTCCTCCTCCTCCTCCCCTCCCCCTCCCCCTAATCCCCATCCTCCCTAATCCCCTCCTCCCCCTCCTGCTCCTATCGCGCCGCCGGCGAGGTGGGGGAGCCGGTGGACCCCGAAAAGACGTTCAAGAAGGTGCCGATGCACACGGAGATTGCGCCCTTCGTGGACGGCTCGAGCGTCGTCGTCGTCGTCGTCGCCGCCGCCGTCGTCGTCGTCGTCGTCGTCGTCGTCGTCGTCGTCGTCGTCGTCGCCGCCGTCGCCGTCGCCGTCGCCGTCGCCGACGCAGCCGCCGGCGCAGCTGCCACCATCGTCGTCGTCTTCATCGTTGTTCTTCGTCCGTCGTCCGTCGTTCGTCGTGCGTCGTTCGCCGTTTGTCTTTCGCCGTCTGGTGTGAAGCTCGCCGTTCGCCGTTCGCCGTTCGTCGTTCATCTTTTGTCCTTCGTCGTTCGTCCGTCCTCGTCCTCGTCCTCGTCTTCGTCCTCGTTCTCGTCCTCGTCCTTGTCCTCGTCGTCGTCGTCGTCGTCGTCGTTGTCGTCGTTGTCGTCGTTCGTCGTCGTCGTTCGTCGTCTGTCGTTCTGTCGTTCGTCCTGGGTCGGCGTCCGCCCTCCGTCGATTGGCTGGGCGTGAGGGGCCCCCAGTGGGGGACCGCCGAGCGCTGCCGCACTGCACGGAGCCGTCGTCCCCTCCTCCTCCTCCTCCTCCTCCTCCTCCTCCTCCTCCTTCTCCTCCCCCTCCAGGAGGAGACGCACCGGCAGGAGGCCGAGTAGGAGGATGAGGAGGAGTAGGGCGAGGAGACCGAGACGGAGGACGAGTAGGAAGAGGTGAAGGAGGCAAAGGAGGTGGATGTGTAGGTTCGGAGGAGGTGGAGGAGGAGGAGGAAGTGGAGGAGGAGGAGACGGGTAGTGAGGGAGGACGGAGGAGAGAGGGGGGCGAGGAGGCGGGAAGAGACGAGGGAAGAATGAGGAGGCAGGATGTGGAGGAGGAGGAGGTGGGACAATAGATGAGAGGCGGCGAAGACGACGACGGAGGCAGTGGCAATGGCGTCGGCGACGACGAAGGGCCAGTCGTTCCAGTGCGAAGGCCTTACGGCCAGTGCCGCCGACCCTGAATGGGGACGACGACGACAACGGCGGCGGCGGCGAAGACGACGCTGACGTCGGCTTATATTGCTCCCATCGTACTTGAGGATCATATCCCAGAAATAATTTCGAGCACCCGGAAAAGTGTCGAAAGCGTGTCGAAACAGTGTCGAACGAGTGTCTCCCAGGGCCCGACACGTGAAAACCCTAGAGTTTCGGCACTTTTTGGGTGCTCGAAATTCTTTCAGGTGATCAAGGCTGAAGTAGGTTGGAACATCATAAACGTGGGCCAGAGTCCTCAGGGATGCTTCTCTGGGTCTCTTCGGAAGGCTCTCGGGGGCCCAGTCGTGCTATTTTCGGCTCGCTCCTGCCTGTCCGCGCGCGCCCCTTCCAGGCCCGCCTCCTGACCTCCCCGATCACCGCCGCCGCCGCCACCACCGCTGTCGTCGTGGTCGTCGTCGTCGTCGTCGTCATCGTCGTCGTCGTCGTCGTCGTTGTCGTCGTCGTCGTCGTCGTCGTCATCGTCGTCCTGCCCCTCCCTCTCCTCCAGCTCCTCCCTCCCCCGCTCCTGCGTATCCCTCTCTCCCCCTCGCCCTGCGCCTCCCTCCCGCCGCCGGCGCCCTGTCGCGGCCCCGGCGGCCCCGTTGCGATCCCCGCCGGGGCGGCAGATGTCCCTCCGAGGGGCGCCATCCCGCAGTTCGTGCAGACCTTTGAGAGTCTCTGCCCCTCGGGGCTGCCCTGGCGGAACTCCTCCTCCCCGCCCCTCCTCCTCTTCTTCCTCCTCCTCGTCCTCCTCCTCCTCCTTCCTACTCCTCCTTCTCCTGCTCCTCCTCCTTCTTCTCCTCCTCCTCCTCCTCCTCCTCCTTCCTCTTCCTCTTCCTCTTCCTCCTGCTCCTGCTCCTGCTCCTACTCCTGCTCCTCCTCCTCCTCCTCCTCCTCCTCCTCCCGATCGTCCGTGGCCGTTTTTTTTGGCTCGGGGGTTCCAGCGCGCCCTGGCTGGCGAGACGCCACTGCGTGCCTGGCTGGCGGATGCGAGGCAAGACGGGGGGGAAAGGAGGAGGGTGAATGGGGGCGGAGGAGGAGGAGGAGGAGGAGGAGGAGGAGGAGGAGGAGGAGGAGGAGGAGGAGGAGGAGGAGGAGGAGGAGGAGGGGAGGAGGACGAGGAGGAGGAGGCCTCGTCCTCCTCCTCTTATGTTTCTCGCATCCGCCTCCACCCATTTCCTGTTCCTCTTGTTTTTCCCTCTCCCCCTCTTCCCTCCCTCTCTTCCTTTCCCCTCCCTCTCCCCTCCTCCTTATCCTTCTCCTTCCTCGTCCCCTCTCCTCCTCATCCTGTTCCTGCTCCGCTGTCCTCTCGCCTCCCCTCCCTCGCCCTCCCTCCTCCCGGCTCCTCTACTCGAGCGGTAGCCCCTTGGTCCAGTGCCCTGTTGCCTTGTCTCTGTCCGATCGTTTCCCCTTGCCAGTTTGACTGGTGTGGGTAGGGTCATTCCTTCATTTCTAGCTCTCTCTGCCCCTCCTCCCTCCCCAATTCCCGTCCTGCTCGTCGTCCCTCCTCGTCCCCTCTTCTCCCCCCTCTTCACCTCTCCTTCCTCCTTTTCCCAGTCCTCCGTTTCCCCCGTCGCTCCAGCGCTTCTCCTCGTGTAGATCTCCCCTCCCTATTGCAGCAGCAGACGTGACGGTAGGGCGGTCGGTGCGTTTCACGTGGGTTTTTGTTCACAGTTTATGGCACTGCAGCTTCAGAGTTGGAGCAGTTACACGTATGGACGGCGGGCTCTGTTCAACATGCAGCTTTTGTGTTATCACCTCGCGCATCCGCGTCGAATGCTAGCAACAGGTACACGGATGGAGGGCGGTGATTTTTCACCTGGGGGTTCTCGCCTCACTGCCGCGCACATTCGTCTGGTGTGTGGTTTCTGTGCCCAGAAATGGGCGAGGACTTCGTGCTGAATCCTCGTTGTTTGGGCCATCCTACAGTTCACGGTGCGAGGGCCCTCCACAGGTTGCAGACGGGAGAGATCTTAGCAGCAAAATCCAAGGAGATTGCGAGCATTGCTGACTAATAGATGTAAACAAGAGTTTTGCCAAAGGCAGGACACATACCATACATGTGCATGGATAGACGGCATTTGGCGTTAAAGCTGTTGTCGCTGGGGACTTCTTCAACCCTAAGCTTGAACATGTCTAACGCCTTCATGGGTGGAGGGTGGCTTCTTTTTAAACTTGGGAGGCATCTCTCAAGCTTCGCGCGCATTCGCATTTGCATATAACAGCACTTCTCAAGTATGGATAGCGTTCGATTTTCAACATGTGGCTCGTTCGAGAATTCTTCAAACTCATGGGCATCAGGCTGAACCTACGTAGGGGGACGCTTCCTGTTCAGAAGGGGGCTCTCGCTTTAGGTGCCCACATGGTTTGTTGCTAGCTTTGTCCAACACCTGCACGGCTGGGGACGGCTCGTTCGTCAAACGGTGTCATCGTTGGACACCTCGCTTGATTTGGTGATCTTACCTTCTCGCATGTCTACAGCCCGCTAGGAGGATGCAGGGCAAGCTGATTCTCAAAGCGGGGCTCCCTTGAACGGCATGCCCGTCGGGTGCTCCTCTTTCGAGGGGGCGCCTCTCGCGGTGAAGAGGGCGGCATGCCTGGGGACGCACGAGGAGGGAGCCCGGGACGGGCGGGTGTACTGCAGCACCGTTGGTGCACGCGGTGTCTACTTTGGTCGACTACACGTAAGAGTGACCCTTCGCCGGAGTGACCTTTGGTGCGCGCTCAGTGGGGTCCCCCGATCGCCGCGTTCGGTGCGATAGTAGCGTCTTTCGCGCTTGTGTTTGGCCTCCTCGCGCCTCCCAAAAAGCCGCGCACCAAAGGTCACTCTTACCCAGGGTCACTCCTACGTGCAGCCGATTGGTGCACGCGGTGTCTACTTTGGGCCTTCTTCTCGCCCGTCTTCCACTCCCCCCCTCCCACGCACGCATCTCCTGCGCTCGATCGGGGATAAAACGCAGGGTCGAGGAGCAAGGTCTTCGGGAGGCCCGCGGCCACCTCTGGAGGCCTCCAGGGACCTTTTTTTGAGGTTTCGACAGAGGAGTTTCGGGTGTTGCTAGAGGTGCCCCTGGCCCAAGATGCCCCCAGGATTTTCAAGGAGGCCACTACGGCCTCCAGAGCACCCCTCACGAGGTCCAGAGGGCCCCAGGAGCTCCAAAATTGAGCGAAAAGCTGGGGGCACCTTGAGCCAGGGGCACCTTTAGCAACCCCCGAGAGTTGGGATAGGCGGCGGAGAATCGGTGAGGAGGGTGGCAGGAGCATGGAGGCGGGGGATAAGCCAGAACAGGAAAGGGAGAGGTGTAGCAGTGGTGGTAGTGGTTGTGGCAGCGGCAGTGGCAGCGGCAGTGGTAATGGCTGTGATCGTGGTAGTTGTAGTGCTGGTTGTGATCGTGGCAGCAGTGGTAGCAGGAGGCCGAGGAAGGCAAAGACGATGATGAGGACATGGGCGAGAACGAGGACGAGGGCGAGGACTGAGACAACGACGAGCAAGCGGCAGGCGGGGGAGGAGGGCGGGGTGCTCCAGTCAAGCTGGGCAGGGCCATGGCGGCGGGCGAGGACCCCTGGGCCCGGCGGCAGCTGGACGAGGCCAGCCCGGCGCCGTGGTCGTTTGGCGACGCGGACTTCCGACAGTCTTTTATTGCCGCCGTTTCTACCTTGAGGACCGTCCTGTTGACCCCTGGCGATGGCGCTCGCGTCACGATTCTCGCCGGTGTCGTCTGGGAATGCTCGGGAGTGGCTCACTCCGAGACGGCGCTGGCGCGAACAGTGGCGTGACCAGGGGGAGGAGGGGGGGGGCGGGGCCAGCCACGGGCGGCGTCGTGATATATATATATATACATACAAACATACATACATACATACATACATGCATACATACATACATACATACATACATACATACATACATACATACATACATACATATATATATATATATATATATATATATAGAAACGTGCTCTCTGGAAGAGAGAGGTGAGAAGGGCGGGGAGGGGAGCGGGGATGGGGAGAGGCAAAGTCTAGGCCTCCTAGCTGGGGTCGGAGTAGACGGGGTCGGAGGATCGCGGCGCATCGCCGATGCATCGGCGATGCGGCTCGATGTGGAGCCCGTGTTTTTCCGACGCCGCCGCCGCCGATACATCGCCGACGTCGCCGATGCATCGCCAATGCATCGCGGATACATCGGCGATGCATTGGCGATGCGGCGCGATCCTTCGACCCCATCTTCTCGGACCCCATCCAGGAGGCCTCTACAAAGAGAGGGGAGAGGAGAGGAGGAGACTGTACCTCGGCTTCTGCTGAGTTCTCTCGCTTCTGAAGAGCAATATGCCCACCCCACCAGCGCTTGTCTTTTTTTCAATTGAAGTGCCCCTCCCCCTGGGGCTCGCACTCCTGGTCTTTATCCAAGAAAGTCTTGATGCTCAAACTGCGCCCCTGGCGCCTGGTTTACAACAACAGCGGTTCCCGCCTGTTACTTTCTCGCAATTTGTTCAAAACATCGCGCACTCGCGCGGGACTTCTTCACAATTCGTTCAAGGATTGGTCTTCCAGGAATCGTGTCTCTCGCACGAGACCTCCTCAAAGTTTACGCAGGCATCGTGCCTTCGCCCGAGGCTTCTGCACAACTTGCGAACTTCGCCTCCATGCCCCACTCGCCCGACCCGCCCGTGAAGGGGCCGCCTGCGCGACCCACCCGCTGAAGTCCAGCCGCCCGACTCGCCCATGAGAGGAGGAGGAGGAGGAGGAGGAGGAGGAGGAGGAGGAGGAGGAGGAGGAGGAGGAGGAGGTCCGCCCGTTCGCGTGCTTGGAAGGCCGCTAGCTTGAATGTTCCGCCCAAGCCGCCCGCTGCAGCGTCCCGCCCTGCCCGCCCGTTGGGGTCCGCCCGCCCGACCCGCCCGTCACTCCTCCTCCTCGTCTTCCTCCTCCTCCACTTCCTGTTCCTCCTCCTTTCTCGTGTTTGGAAACCCTCCCGCCAGCCCGACACGCCCGTTCGAGTCCGCCCGCCCCACCCGCCCGTCGGGGTCCGTCCTCCCGTCGGGGTCCGCTTGCCAAAGTCATGCTTCTTTTCTCCTTTCTCTCTGGCTAAATCTTCTTCGCCCTCAATCCTCCCCCTTCCCTCTGATTTCCTTTTGCCCTCCTCTATTTTCGTTTTCGCCTCCTTTCCTCGTTCTCGCTCTTTCATTACCCCTCCTCCTCCTCCTTCTCCTCCTTTGCCACGTATTTTCTGCTCCTAGCCCCCCCTGCTAATTTCTCTCGTGCTCCATCCTTGTCCCTCCCCCTTCCATGCGCCTTTTCTTCCGCTGATTCAGGGGCTGCACTAAATGCACGTGGCAGGTAAGGAACATATGCCCCCAAGGTGGTATGATCGAAGGCGAAGAGGGCGGGTACCGAGGGCTTGTGATATACGTGTGGAATGGCACGCGAGCAGACAGGAGCGAGCAGTCTTCAACTGAACCTTTATATGATTATCCGTATGATTGTGGTTGTGGTTGTTACTGTTGATGTTGTTGTTGTTGCTGCTGCTGCTGTTGCTGTTGCTGTTGCTGTTGTTGTTGTGGTTGTTGTGGGTGTTGCTGTTTTTGTTGTGTTGTTGTTGTTGCTGTTGTTGTGGTTGTTGGATTTCTATTTCTATATTCTGATTGTTGTTGATTCCGGGTTTCGCACCCGGTATTTTACCAGGGAAAGCGAGGGGTCACCAACCTGGGTCCTTGTCCCTCGGTTTACAACAACAAAAGCGGCTCCCGCCTGATGTTTCGTTACGATGTACAAGCAAATCGCGCTCTCGCGCGGGACCTCCACAATTTATACAGGAATCGCGCTCTCGCGTGGAACTTCCTACAGCACTCAATTCATTCCGACGCCGCGCCCTCCATACTCAGGAATCGCGCTCTCGGGTTGGCTTTGTTCACAGTTCATTTGGGAATCGCGTTATCGCTCGAGACTGCCTCGCGATTCCTGCAGGACGCACGCTTCAGCATTTCGCGCCCCTTGTCATTTCCTTCCATCCGTTCTGTCTTCCTCTGTTTGACGGGCTGCACGAAATACACGTTGCAGGTGAGAAGGATATACCCCACATGGGGGACGATCGAAGACGAATAGGGCGGGAACCGAGGGTTTGGGGTATACGTTTTGAATGGCACGCGAGAAGATAATAGCGAACAGTCTTAAAATGATTGTTGTCGCTGTTGGTGAAGTTTCGTTTTCTGAAACATCATTTTTATTGAGCCCCCCTCGGGTAACCTTTTTTTCAATTGAAGTGTGCCCCTCGGGGCTCGCACCTGGTTTTTACAAGGGAAAACGAGGGGTCACCAAACTGGGCCCTTGGCCCCCGAGTTACAACAACAACGGATCCCGCTGGATACTTCCTCACAATTCATTTCAACATCGCGCTTCTTCGCGGGACCTCCTCATAAGTTATGCAGGAATCGCGCTCTCGCGTGGGGCATCTTCGCAATTCATTCCGACGCCGCGCCCTCGACACTCAGGAATCTCGCTCTCGTGCTGGGAATCGCGCTATCGCTTGAGTCCTCCTCGCCTTGAATGCAGGACGCACGTTTCATCAACACGCCTTTTCGACCTGGCCGCTTAGGCCTGCCTTCCCGGGACCGCCCGTTAGGGTCTACCCGCTCGATGGGCCTGTCTGCTTCTGCCACGTGTTTTCTGCTCCTGGCACCCCTCCTGCTAAGTCCCGTGCTCCATCATTGTCCCTCCCCCTTTCGATCCTCCCTTTCTCCCGCTGATTCAGGGGCTGCGCCAATTACACGCGGCAGTTATGACGAAGAGGGCGGGTACCGAGGTTTTTTGGAGATACGTGTTGAACGGCACGCGAGCAGGTAAGGGCGAACGATAGTTCCATGATTGTTGTTTTTGTTGTGCTCTCATTTCTTCAGAATATTTTGTGCTGATCCCCTCCCTCAGGTAAGCTTTGTATTTTTCGATCGAAGTACTCATCCTGGCGCTCGCACTTTTTTTGGTACAAGGGAAGCTGGGTGTCACCAAACTGTGTTGTTGGCTCCCGGTTTGCAGCAACAGCGGCTCCCGCCAGATATTTCTTTCTTCAGAACGTATTCAAAAATTGCGCTCTCGGGAGGGGCGTCCTCACAAATTATGCAGGAATTGCACTCTCGCGTGGGACTTCCTCGCACTTTATTCAGACGCCGCGCCCTCGAATCTCAGGAATCACGCTCTCGCTCTGACTTTGCTCACGATTTACTGAGGAATCGCGCTATCGTTTGAGCCCTACTCGCCATTCATGCAGGACTCACGTTTCATCAACTCGCCTTTTCGACCTGGCCGCTTAGGCCCGAATTCCCGACCCGCCCGTTAGGGTCTACCGGCTCGATGGGCCCGTCTGCTTCTGCCACGTGTTTTCTGCTCCTGGCACCCCTCCTGCTAAGTCCCGTGCTCCATCCTTGTCCCTCTCCCTTTCCATCCGTCCTCTCTTCATTTGTTTCAGGGGCTGCGCCAATTACCCGCGGCAGGTACGGAAGATTTACCCCCAGGGCGGTCACCGAGGGTTTGGGACATACGTGTTGAACGGCACGCGAGCAGGTAATAGCGAACAGTCTGAAATTCGTTGTTGTTGTTGGTGTTGTGGTTGTCGTTGCTGTTGTTGTGGTTGTGGTTGTGGATGTGGTTGTGGTTGTGGTCGTGGCTGTGGTTGTGCTTGTGGTTGTGGTTGTTGTGGTTGTCGTTGTTGTTGTTGTTGCTGTTGTTGATGAACTCCCATTCGACCATTAACTATTGTTGACCCCCCTCCGGTGACCATTGTGGTTTTTCAATTGAAGTGCTTCCCCCAGGGCTCGAACCCGGTTCTGTATCAGGACAAGACACTAGGCTCAAACTGCGTTGTTGGCCCCTGGATCACAACAAAAACAACAACAGCTCCAGCCTAGTCTTCTCACAATTTAGCCAGGAAGCCCGCTCTCGCTTGAGACTTCCTCAAATTCTACTCAGGATTCGCGCTCTCGCTTGGAACTTCCTTCCTTACACTTTATTCAGGAATCGCTTTCTCGGTGCTCTGGAGTCGCGCTCTCGCTGGAGACTTGCTTGCAATTTACGGAAGAGTCGCACTCTTGCGTTGGAGAGCCTCGCAATTTACTCAAATGCCGCGCTCCCGACACTCAGGCACCCAGGAGTCGCGCTCACGCTTAGGACGCCTTCCCAACTTATTTAGGAATCGGGATATCGCTGCCCTTCGTGGCCCCGTTGCAGCCCTTCGTGGCCCCCTCGCTGCTCTTCGTGGCCCCGTTGCAGCCCTTCGCGGCCCCCTCGCTGCCCTTCGTGGCCCCGTTGCAGCCGTTCGTGGCCCCCTCGCTGCCCTTCGTGGTCCCGTTGCAGCCCTTCGTGGCCCCCTCGCTGCCCTTCATGGCCTCATGTATGTATGCCATTCGTGGCCCCCTCGCTGCCCTTCGTGGACCCGTTGCAACCCTTCGTGGTCCCCTCGCTGCCCTTCGTGGACCCGTTGCGGCCCTTCGCGGCCCCGTTGCAGCCGCTCGTGGCCCCCTCGCTGCCCTTCGTGGCCCCTCGCTGCCCTTCGTGGCCCCGTTGCAGCCCTTCGCGGCCCCCTCGCTGCCCTTCGTGGCCCCGTTGCAGCCTTTCGTGGTCCCCTCGCTGCCCCTCGTGGCTCCGTTGCAGCCCTTCGTGGCCCCGTTGCTGCCCCTCGTGGCTCCGTTGCAGCCCTTCGTGGCCCCGTTGCTGCCCTTCGTGGCCCCACATATGTGTGCCCTTCGTGACCCCCTCGCTGCCCTTCGTGGCCCCGTTGCAGCCCTTCGCGGCCCCCTCGCTGCCCTTCGTGGCCCCGTTGCAGCCCTTTGTGCACCCCTCGATTCCTTCGGGGCTCTCCTTTGCAGCCCCTTCGTGGTCCCCCTCGCTTCCCTTCGAGGCCACGTTGCAGCCCTTTCGTTGGCCCCTCGCTGCTCTTCGTGGCCCCGTTGCAGCCTTTCGTCGCCCCCTCGCTGCCCTTCGTGGCCCCGTTGCAACCTTTCGTCGCCCCCTCGCTGCCCTTCGTGGCCCCTTTGCAGCCGTTCGTGGCCCCCTCGCTGCTCTTCGTGGCCCCATTTATGTAATTATGCCATTCGTGACCTCCGCTCGTTCGTGCCCGTCGTGGCCCCATATGCATGCGCTTCGTGGCCCCGCTGTCGCCCTTCGTGGACCCGTTGCAGCCGTTCGTGGCCCCCTCGCTGCCCTCAGTGGCCCCGTCCTTGCCCTCTGCGGCCCAATCTACGTATGCCCTTCGTGGCCCCCGCTCGTTCACGCCCTTCGTGGCCCCATACGCATGCCCTTCGTGGCCCCGCTGTCGCCCGTTGTGGCCCCCTCGCTGTCCTACGTGGCCCCTTTGCTACCCTCAGTGGCTCCGTCGTTGTCCTCTGTGGCCCCGCATGATCTGCCCTTCGTGGACCCCGCTCGTTCGCGCCCGTCGTGGCCCCATACGCATGCCCTTCGTGGCCCCGTTGTCGCCCTTCGTGGCCCCCTTCCTGCCCTTCGTGGCCCCGCTGTCGCTCTTGCTCTCGCTCTCGCTTTCGCTCGTCGTCGCCGTCGTCGTCGTTGTCGTCGTCGTCGTCGTCGTCGTCGTCGTCGATGTCGGTCCCCTGTCCGTCCCTCTGGGGGTCGGGTTGCCGACGATCAACGCTGCCGGTGGCCAGGCCGACGGTCCGCGGCCGCCCCGTCGCTTGCCGGGGCCCAGCCTGGAGGGGAGACAGGTATACCCCCCAGAGGGGTACGATCGAAGACGAAGAGGCGGGTATCGATGGTTTGGGAAATACATGTCGAATGACATTCGAATCAGTCTTAACATGGTTGTTATTGTTGTTGTTGTTGTTGTTGTTGTTGTTGTTGTTGTTGTTGTTGATGTTGTTGATGTTGTTGTTGTTGTTGTTGTTGTTGTTGTTCTTGTTCTTGTTGTTGTTCTTGTTGTTGTTCTTACTGTTCTTGTTCTTGTTCTTGTTCTTGTTCTTGTTCTTGTTGTTGTTGTTGTTGTTGTTGTTGTTGTTGTTGTTGTTGTTGTTGTTGTTGTTGAATTCTCATTCCTGAAGAATAATTACTGTTGATCCCCCCACTGGTGCATACTGTTTTTTCTCAATCAAAGTGTGCCCCTCGACGCTCGCACCCGGTTTTTTGACAGGTAAAGTCTTAATGCTCAAACTGGACCCCTGGCCCCCGGGTTACAACGACAACGGCTCCCGCCTGAGACTTCCCTACAATTTAGCCAGGACCCCCGCTCCCGCCCGAGACTTCCTCGCATTTTATTCAGGAATCGCGCTCTCGCTTGGGACTTCCTTATAACTTATTCCGGAATCGCTTTCTCGGTGCTCTGGAGTCGCGCGCTGGAGACTTGCTTGCAACTTACTGAAGAATAGCCTTGCGTTGGAATTTCCTGCAATTAGCCCAAGCGCCGCGCTCCCGACACCCAGGCACCCAGGAGTCGCGCCCCTTGTGGCCCCATGTGCATGCCTTTCGTGGCCCCGCTGTCGCCATTTGTTTCCCCCTCACTGTCCTACGTGGCCCAGTTGCTACCTTCAGTGGCCCCATACTTGCCTTCTGTGGCCCCACATTATCTGCACTTCGTGGGCCCCGCTCGTTCGCGCCCTTCGTGGCCCCATACGCATTCCCTTCGTGTCCCCGCTGTCGCCCTTCGTGGCCTACTTCGTGCCCTTCGTTGCCCTGCTGTCGTTCTCTCTCGCTCTCGCTTTCGCTCGTCGTCGTCGTCGTCGTCGTCGTCGCCGTCGTCTTCGACGTCGTCGTCGTCGTCGTCGTCGTCGTCGTCGTCGTCGTCGTGGTCGGTCCCCTGTCCGTCCCTCTGGGGGTCGGGTCGACGGTCCGCGACCGCCCCGCCGATCAGCGCTGCCGCTGGCCAGGCCGACGGTCCGCGGCCGCCCCGCCGCTTGCCGGGGCCCGGCCTGCAGGGAAGAAAGGTATACCCCCCCAAAGGGGTTCGATCGAAGACGAAGAGGGCGGGTATCGAGGATTTGGGAAATACGCGTTATTGAACACTCCAGCATATCAGGGTGAACAGTCTTAACATCATTATTGTTGTTGTTGTTGTTGTTGTTGTTGTTGTTGTTGTTGTTGTTGTTGTTGTTGTTGTTTTTGTTGTTGTTGTTTTTGTTGTGGTTGTTGTTGTTGTTGTTGTTGTGGTTGTTGTTGTTGTGGTTGTTGTTGTGGTTATGGTTATGGTTGTGGTTGTGGTTGTAGTTGTTGTGGTTGTTGTTGTTGTTGTGGTTGTGGTTGTGGTTGTGGTTATGGTTATGGTTGTTGTTGTTGTTGTTGTTGTTGTTGTTGTTGTTGTTGTTGTGCTGGTTGTTGTTGTTGTTGTTGTTGTTGTTGTTGTTTTTTGTTGTTGTTGTTGTTGTTGTTGTTGTTGTTGTTGTTGTTATTGTTGTTGGTGTTGCTGTTGTTGTTGTTGTTGTTGTTGTTGTTGTTGTTGTTGTTGTTGCTGCTGCTGTTGTTATTGTTGTTGTTACTGCTGCTGCTGCTGCTGCTGTTGTTGTTGTTGTTGTTGTTGTTGTTGTTGTTGTTGTTGTTGTTGTTGTTGTTGTGGTTGTGGTTGTGGTTGTGGTTGTGGTTGTGGTTCGGTGGCGAGCCCAGGGGGGAAGGGGGGCAGGCCTTCTCCAAAGGGGGCGGCGGGGCTTCTCAGAGAACCTCTCGCCTTCTGAGAAGAGTGCCGTGCCCTCGGAGAGGGTCAGGCAACTCCTCCGAAGGCCCGTTGCCTTCCGAGCCCTCTGAGAAGGCCCGCCCCCTCTGCCTGTCCCCCCTGGGCTCGCCGAGCTGTGCCGGGGCCGCTGCCGAGCCCACCCCGCCCGTTGGGGCCGCCGTCGGCGTGGCCCGCCGAGAGGTGGCGAGCCTGCGCGCCATCTTCTTCGAGGAGGGCGCCGTGTCCGTGGAGGAGGCAGCGCTCTCGGCGCTGGAGGACCTCAGGAGGAGAAGGTGCCCCTACCGCTGACCCCCTCACCTCGTTCTCGCCTCGTCCGCGCCCTCTCGGGCCTCCAGGGAGGCCCTCGTCGCCACCGCTGGGGTCGCCTCGCAGCTCTGGTCAGGACGCATTCCGGGGGAGGTCCTCATGGCTACCTCATGGGCACCTCATGGTTTCCCCGGCAACTCCCCTCCCCCGGCACCTCATGGGCACCTCATGGGCACCTCATGGGCACCTCATGGTTACCTCATGGGCACCTCATGGTTACCTCTGGAGTAGCTGCATGGGCGCCTCCTGGTTTCCCCGGCACCTCCCCTCCCCCGCCCTCCGTCGGCGGCGAGCCCAGGGGGGGGGGAACGCTGGGGGGGCGGGCCTCCCAGGAGTCTCTGGGGACGGGGGTCGGCGGTGCATCGCCGAGAGATCGGCGATGGGCCCCCGATGGCGGCCCCGTGCGCTCCTGGGCTGGGCTGGGCTACCCCCTCCTGGGCCTGCCGTCGAAAGCTATGGTGAGGACGGGCGGGAGGGACGCAGGGGCCTTGGACGCCGAAGTTGGCCTGTTGTGGGCGGCGGACTGCCGCCACACCGAAGGGCTGGCCAGGGAAAGCCGCGCTGGACGGGCCGCAGAGGCAAGGACGCGTGCGTCCGAAGGGCATCCTGAGGGCATTCCAGGGAAGACCTAAGGGCATCCTAAGGGCATCCTGAGGGCGGGCCAGGGAAAACCGCGGGCAGCCTAATTACGGGCGTCCGTGCGTCCTTGCTGTGAGTTTTGACCGTGTCCCCCCCCCGGACCCCTTCACGTTGCCACTGCGGAGGGCAGCGCTCGGTGCAGCTCGGCGGCGCGCCCGGCGGAGCGCAGAGGGGGGCGGGGCCTCTCCTCCAGAGGGCCCCGCAGGCCTCCCGCCTTCTCTTGCCGAGGCCGTGGCGGGCCCCCCAGACAGCCGGAGGCGTTCTGAGGAGCCCCACCCCCGCGGCCTTACGAGCAGGCCTGCCCCTCTCAGCATCCTAACCCCTACCCACCCCCCAGGCTCCTACTACAGGCATCATGTATTCCTCCTCCTCTCCTTCCCCTCTCTCCCTACTCCTCCATCTCCCTACTCCTCCTCTCCTCCTCCCCTCATCCTCCTCCTCCTCCTCCTCCTATTCCCCCCCTCCCTCCCCCTCCTCTCCTCCTCCTCATACTCCCATCCACATCCTGCCTCCCTTCCCCCTCCTTCCTCCTCCTCCCTCTACTCCTCCTTCCCTCCTCTCCTCCTCCTCTCCCTCCTGCCTCCTCTCCTCCCCTCCTCCTCCTCTCTCCTCCTCTCCCCCCGAGGAGGCTGTCGCCGAGAGAAGGTGGGGGGGGAGGGGAGTCTCCATGGTAGGCGGCACGCCTGAGCGTTATCCGGTGCCGGGTGACGCTCGGGCGTGCCGCCGCCCATGGGGGTAGGTCCCCGCCCCTGTGGGCTCTCGGTGGTCCTTGTGTCTCCTCAAATAGAGGTCTGCTAGGTGTGTTTACAGTAAGTCGGGTTGGAGGATCGCGCCGCATCGCCGATGCATCACCGATGCATCGGCGGTGCATCGGCGATGCACCGGCGACGCCTGCGATACATCGGCGCCATCGGCGTGAAGAATATCATATTCCATATCGAGCCGCATCGCCTCAGCTTCAGGATCACGGGGCGACAGGGCTCCTGACAGTGTCCCCAACCTAGTCAAGACGATACAGATGATGGTTGTGGACGCTTTGTCCAAGCTCGGTACACACAACAATCAAGATGTCCCTCCCAAGGAGAATTACCAGAGACTTCAGCAAGTCAGAGCGAAAGCGCCAAGCACAAGCGCCAGACCGAGACCGATATGGCACACTACAAGGAGGAATTGGCAGCACAGGCGTCATTCCTACAGAGCGAGATCGACAGGGTCGAATGCTAAACTGAATGGTACCGGTGCGAGCAGCGCAAGGCCTACAGCACGAGACCGAGTCTGCGGCTGACCAGGAAAGACAGACCATGTGGAGCCAGATGCATGACCTCACTAATGAAGTGCCGCGTGCTACGCAGAGATGAGTGCCCACAGCAGCAGCACTCGATATGTGACCGACGGTTCTCATGAAGCGCAGGCACTGCATAAACAACTCTTGGAACAGTGATCTTTTTTATTCATCGTTTTGCCGATCGGCGCGGGCCCCCTACCCCCCCTTCGCCCCCCCCACGGAGTGGATCTTGGCTGTTTTCGGGCGCCTGTTTCGAGCAGGTGGAGCCTCTCCCATAAATGGACCCACTGCCGCAAACAGACGCCACTAAGCAGAGGCTCGGAGCCAGACCCCTCCCCCTCCACCCCTTCCGGTCAATGTCGAAACGCCGAATGAAAAACGCTCACAAAAGGGGCACGCTACTTGCCAAAGCGCAGACGAAGATTATGACGCCGGTCAAGAGGCTTCTCCCATTCATTGCTCGCAGAGGAATACAGGCACGACTGCATCAAGTACGGGAGCACAGATGGAGATACGGGCTGCAGTCAAACAAGTGTTTTTATTCGTTGTTTTGCCGATCGGCGCCGGCCCTCTTACCCCCCTCTCCCCCTCCTATGGAGTAGATCTTGGCTGTTTTTGGCGCCTGTTTTGAGCAGGTGGAGTCCCTCCCCCATAATGGACGCACTGTCGCAAACAGTCGCACTAAGCAGAGGTCCGGAGCCAGACCCCCCCTTTTCCACCCAAGGGCGAAACGCCGAATAAAAAACACCCACCACAGTAAACAATAATTCCGACGGTAGGATCCCGCATGAGAATCTTCTCGGCCACTCTGGACATGCTCCTCTTCGTCGTCCTCGTGATTGGTGTGGCGTCCTTACGGCGTCCTCTGCATCATTCTCCTTCTCGCCCTGGCGCAGGCCCTCCTCCCGCTGCCTACATTGCCCCCTCTTCGCCCTCCTGTTTTTTTGCCCACCCCCGCCACCTCCTCCCCTCTCTATTGCAAGAGCGCGCGTGCCGATTTTCCTCGGCGCCGTCGCCGCCTCGGCCAGCACGGGCGCATTCTCGAATGGCTACATTGCTCAGCCGTTGGGGTAATCCCGCGGGCCAGGCCGTTGGGACAACGCCGCGACCTGCAGGGGCGCGGGGGCAAACCGTCGGGACAACCCCGGAGGCACCGAGCTAGCCGCGGCCGCGCTCAGGCGGGAAACGACACGATGCCCAACTCATCCGCGAGTTGCTCCCCCTCTGCCCTGGACTTCTCCGCTCTCTTGCCGAACTCCCTGGGCGCCTTCCGCAGGGACGCCAGCGGCCCGCTCTCCAGGAACTCCCGCGGCGGCGGCCGCAGGATTGGAATGTTCCGCATGCGCGTGGCGCGGGAGAACTAGACGTAGAGATGCAGCATTCATCCTTCGGTGATGGGTCGAGCGAGTGGCCCTCCACAAAGCCCGAAAGACCTCGCTCGGACTCCTTTGCGTCCCAGTGGATCCGACGGCCCGCTCGGGTTCCAACGAGCTCGTACAGTTGGAGGTGGGAGGATAAAAAGAGATATCTGTTGTTGTTGATGATGCTGACGATGAGGATGATGACGATGAAAACGATGATGTTGATGATGGTGCTGATGATGAAGATGACGCTGATGATGATGATGCTGATGATGATGATGACGGTGATGATGATGCTGCCTATGACGATGATGATTTGAGTGATGCTGGTGACGATGCTGGTGTTGTTGTTGATGATGATGGTGGTTCTGATGATGAGGAGCAAGGGGAGGATAAACGGGGGATGTGGGGGTGGAAGAGGAGGATGAAAAAGGGGAGGAGGAGGAACATGAGGAGGAGGAGGAGGACGAGGAGGGGATTCCATAATAATAACAGTAATAATAATCATACACACAACAAAAAATATTAATCATACGATCACTACAGTAATAATACGTGTGAGAAGAATAGGAATACTGATATTGATAGGAAGAAAAATAACAATACTAAAAACACGAATGGGACTACTGATAATAATACGAATAAAAAAGACGACTAATGCGATTACGAATGTTATTAATATATATTATATATATTATTATATATATATATATATATATATATATATATATTAATAAGAATTAATCACACTAGTCATACGAATCAAACGACTAATATATATATATATATATAATAAATATATAACTATATTTATGCTAGCCTTTTTAGTGTTCGTTGTAATCAATAGCGAAAATCAGCATTAATAGTGATAGCATTTGCACATTGTTAAACATATCAGCATTATTATTACTACGAACCGTACTACCAATCATAAACATACGAAGCAAACTAAGAAGCACACTACGGCTAACACTAACACTAAGATTATGCAGAATAACAATAATAGTATTCATGGTGCTACTTCTCATACTAACAGTATTATTCATAATGCTAACACTAGTAATCGAACTATACATACTAATCAGCATACGAATCGTAATAATAGGAGTAATATCATCATCAATACTATAGACACAACTACTACTATTAATACTACTACTCGTAATCATAATACTGATATTAATGACAATACTGAAAAATACGAACAATCATACTTCCAGCAGCAATAATATTAAATCCAGTACGATTACTACTACCACTACTACTACTACTACTACTACTACTACTACTACTACTCCTACTACTATTAAGTTTGCTAATCGTAATGATAGTACTAATGATAATGATACTAGTAATACTAATGATAATAATACTAGTAATAATAATGGTAACAATAATACTGCTAATAATAATAATACTCATACCACTGATCACAATACTGATAACAACAATAATAACAATAATAATACTAATACTCGTACTACTAATACTAATACTACTGCTACTATAACAGTAAATCTATTTACAATGCTTATTATTATTTTTATTTTAGTATTATTATTATTATTATCGTTATTCTTAATAACAACAGTAATACTAATCATACTCAGAACAGTAATAAGAGACATAACAAGAAGAGGAGGAGGAGGAGGGGGAGGAGGAGGAGGAGGAGGAGGAGGAGGAGGAGGAGGAGGAGGAGGAGGAGGAGGAAGGGGAGGGAGGAGGAGGAGGAGGAGGAGGAGGAGGAGGAGGAGGAAGAGGATGGGGAGGAGGAGGAGGCGTTGGAGGATCCCCCTCGTCAGAATTCAGAGAGGATCCAAACTATTGCGAGGGCTTCTTCCACGGACCTCCTATCTTCTGTGGCCTTCCCTTCCTCTTTTCCTCTCTCCCCTTTTCCCCCCTCCCCTCCCGGACCCCGCCCCCCCCGTCCCCCCAGGGAGCTCCCCTGGTAACAAAAATCCCCGACTTGACTTCCTCCACATTCATGCCGGAGGAGCCCGGTCGGATTCCACGTTGCAGATTTCCCGGCGGCTCGCTCGGATTGCCATGGAAATGCGGCTCGCATAGCGAGGGGGTTCCTGCCGGAGAGTTCCTCGCAGTTCACTCACAGACGATGCTCCCGCTTGAGATTCACTCCGTACTCGGGCCGTTCGAACCCGAAAACCCGATGACCCGTTCGGGCTAAAAACATGAAGTGCGGGACCCATACGCAGGGGGTTCCCGCTTGAGATTTCTTCGAGAATCAATCACAGACGAGGCTCCCGCCTGAGACTTCGGAGCCCAAACATGACGAGTGTGACAGGATTCCCTGTGAGCCGCTCGGACTACAAAACATGAGGTGCGGGACCCACAGGCAGGGGGCTCCCGCCTGAGACTTCCCGGCAATTCACTTACAGCCGAGGCTCGCGCTTTAAACTTCTTCCATAATCAAGCCGCAAGAACCCAACAATGACGACAATTACAGGTTTCCGATGGCCCGCTCGGATAAAAAGCGCGAGGCGCGGGATCCATAGGCAGGGAGCTCCCGCCGGAGACTTTCTCGCAGTTCGCTCACAGAGGAGGCTCCTGCCTGAGACTTCCTCCATATTCAAGGCGCAGGAGCCCCAAAGCGACGACAGTTACGGGATCACGATGACCCATTCGGATTAATATGAGGTGCGGGAGCCATAGGGAGAGGGCTCCCGCCTGAGACTTCCCCGCTATTCACTCACAGACGAGGCTCCCGCCTGATACTTCCTCAAATGAATGATTGAGTGAGAGTGAATGAGCAAGTGAATCAGTCAGCAACGGAGGATGATGATGATGCTGATGATGCTGATGATGATGGTGATGATGATGGTGATGATGATGTTGATGATGATGGTCATGTGTGTGTGTGTGAGTGAGTGGGTGGGTAGGTGGGTGGGTGAGTGGGTGAGAGAGTGAGTGAGTGACGATGATGATGCTGCTGCTGATGATGATGTTGATGATTATGATTATGATTATGATTCTGATGATGATGATGATGATGATGATGATGATGCTGATGCTGATGCTGATGATGATGAGGATGATGGTGATGATGCTGATGTGATGATGATGATGATGATGATGATGATGATGATGCTGATGCGATGCTGATGCTGATGATGGATGATGATGATGATGATGATGATGATGATGATGATGATGATGATGATGATGATGATGATGATGATGATGATGATGATGATGATGATGATGATGATGATGATGATGATGATGATGATGATGATGATGATGATGATGATGATGATGATGATGATGATGATGATGATGATGATGATGATGATGATGATGATGATGATGAATGTCTGGGTGATTGAGTGAGTGCGCGAAGGGAGAACAGGAGACGCGTCAGGAGGTGACTGCGCGGAGGTGTGCAGAGAAAGCAAGAACCCCACTTAGGATGTGCGGAATAAGAACAGGCATTCGTACAGCCAGACAAAACATGTAGCATCTCAGCGGCACTCTCCAGTACATGAGGAACACCGAGGACAGCATTGCACAACATACGAGTATCTTAAGGCATGGTATCGAACACATGGAAAGCAACTCCTCCGTCGTCATACCCGGACTACAAGATGCAGAATCGCATGGCCCACCTGAACCACAAGTATGAATACATACTACAGATACATGCCGTCCTCGTCGTCGTCGTCGTCGTCGTCGTCGCTTTCGTTGCCTCCGCAGCCCCCGGTCACCAGTTGCTTGTCGCCAGCCGCGGGTCGCTGGTCGCCCGGCGCCCGGCGCCAGTCGTCGCTGCCGCCGCAGTCGCCGCCGTCGTCGACGTGGCCTCTTTTTGTCGCGCCTCCTCCTCCTCCTCCTCCTTCTCCTCCACGCCAAGCGTCTCCTATGCAGGACTTCGCGCTGGGCCAGGAGCGCGGCCGCCCGCCGGCGGCGCCGCCGCCGCTGGCGCTGTCCGTGCGCGCGTACGCCGCGGGCGCGGCCGCCGTGCGGCTGGCGGCGGTGCTGCCGCACGGCTACCCGCGGGCCTGCTGCGATGGCCCGCTGGTGTCCTGGGTCGTGGGTGAAAAGCATAATCCGTGTCCGCGGCCCCGAGTCTCTTCGCAGGCCTGGAGGTTAACACCAACACCAATATCGGCGGTGTATCTCCACCGAGGGAAGAAGATTCCGATCTCGGTGATTGTGTGGTAATATTCTGGCTTCCAAGGTGACCGAAATACTACAACCAACACCGAAATCTAGGATCATCTTCCCCCTGTGGAGGCAAACCCCTGTGTTGGTGTTGGTGCCCATTTCCAGGCTTCCAACGAGTGCCAGGCCCCCGGGCCGCGACCCCGCGGACACGGGGGGCGCTTCTTCTGTGGCGGGTGTGCCCCGCGCGGGGCGCAGCCGTGCGACAGCACGTCCGCGGGATCGCGCCCTGGAGTCCAGACCTCAGGAGGGAAATTATCACACAGACACAATTAATCGTCGACTCCCAGGAAAATATGGGAAAATATGGGAATTGGGCGGGAAAACAAAAACCCAGTAAATATGGGAACATATGGGGCCGCTGTTTGGCCTGCCCCCCGAGGCGCACAGGTGGGGGACGTGTGCTGTATCCGTCGCACTTCGCGGCGTCCATCCCCGCCTCGTGGGGGTGGGCTGGTGGCGCGACGGAACCCTGGCCCACTGGGGATGGGTAGGTCTGGCTGACTGGGGTCGGAGGATCTCGCCCAGCCCCTCCGCGTCACGCAGGCGCCTTCGGCTCCCCCGTCCGCTGCGCCTTCGTGGCGCCACGTGCACGGGGCCAGCTGCAGTTGGGGGATCGCGCCGCACCGCCGCTGCATTTGCGATGCGGATCGGGCAGGAGGAGGAGGAGGAGGAGGAGGAGGAGGAGGAGGAGGAGGAGGAGGAGGAGGAGGTAGGAGGAGGGAGGAGGAGGAGGAGGAGGAGGAGGAGGAGGAGGAGGAGGAGGGGGAGGGAGGAGGAGGAGGAGGAGGAGGAGGAGGAGGAGGAAGGAGGAGGAGGAGGAGGAGGAGGAGGTGGAGGAGGCGGAGGAAGCAGGAGGGGGAGGGGGGAGGTGGAGGGGGAGGGGGTAGGGAGAGGAGAGGATGGAGGAGGTAGGAGGAGGAGGAGGGAGGAGAGGAGGAGCCCGCAGTGAGGGGGGGGGCAGGCCTTCTCAACACCGACGTCGCTGACGCATCGCCGATGCGCTGGCTAGCGATGTGGTGCGCTGCTTCCACCCCGCTTCTGGCCCCGTCTGGACGGCCCACGGGGCCAGAAGGAGTGGCCCTACTCCTCCTTCTATTCTCTCCTCCTCCTCCCTCCTCCTCCTCCTCCTCCTCTCATCCTCCTCCCTCTCCTCTCCTCCTCATCTCCTCCTCATCTCCTCCTCCTCCTCCTCCTCCTCCCTCTCAGAAGGCATGGGCGGCCCCTTGGAAAGCCGGAAAGCTGGAGGCGGCCCCCTGGGCCTTTGGGCAGGACTCCCCACCATCGCGCCCCACCCCCCCTGTTGGCGCTGCCAAGGTGTGGCTGGAGCCCGAGCTGAGCTGGGGAGGCGGCGGGGGGCGTCAGCTCCGCGTTTCTGTGCTCCGGCCTCGGGGCTCCCGCCTTACGTGACTTTGTTGTTTGCTTGAGTTTGATTTTATTTTTTTATTTGTCTTTTGGTCTATGTTTTGCTTTTGTTTGGTTGTTTTTTTTGCGTTTTTCTCAGTTTTGTTTTTTTTTTTTTTTTTGTATTTCTCGTTTTTTTTTTTTTGTTCGGTGGCCGGCCCGAACAGGATGCGGGACGGCTGACCTCCAGGAGGGGTTTGGAGAATGGTTTGTCAGTGGGTTTGTGGACTGGAGGGGAGGAGGAGGAGGAGGGGAGGAGGAGGAGGAGGAGGAGGAGGAGGAGGAGGTAGGAGGAGGAGTAGGAGGAGGAGGAGGAGGAGGGGTAGGAGGAGGATGAGGAGGGCGAGGAGGGAGTGGCAGGAGGAGGAGGAGGAGGAGGACGAGGCGGAGGAGAGGGGGGAGGCGGAGGAGGAGGAGGGCGAGGAGGGGAGGAGGGCGAGGAGGGCGAGGAGGAGGAGGAGGAGGGGGAGGAGGAGGGGGAGGAGGAGGGAGCAGGAGGAGGAGGCGGAGGACGAGGACGAGGACGAGGACGAGGACGAGGAGGAGAAAGGTTACCGGTATCGATTTCCCTAAGTTTTTGAGCTTCCTTGGGGCTGCTGAGAGGGGTCCTCGGTGCCACTCTTGGGTTCATCTGGCAATCCTTGTTCAGAGCGTGCCGGTGCCAGTATCTGTTTGTTTCCGCATCACCTGTGCGTTTGCACCGATCATGGCCAGGCCCGTCGTCCACCTGCCCCACGAATGGGCGGGGACCAAGCAAATCACCAAGCGTACCCTCCATTGCGAACAGCACACGTGTGATTACACATAACGCACGTTCGCACATACACGTATGCACATATTATTGTATACATACATGCACATTTACATATATGCATATGTATGCATACACATACATACGTGCATACATATGCATATACATATGCATATACATATACATATACACATCCATATACACATACATTAGACATATCTTTATACACATCCATATACATATGCATATGTATATGCATATGCATATACATATACATATACATATACATATACATGTACATCTACCTATACATCTGCACACACTGCACACATCTACACACATGTTTGCATCCCGACTTCTATTTACAGTTGGATTTTCATGCACACATGCATACACACATACCTATACATGCACATTTACAGGTACGAATAAGATACACATACAGTTACACATACACATGCTTACGCATATCCATATACATACACACACACATATATATATATATATAAATACACATACACATACATATGCATATATATTTAAATTTCCACATATATATATATATATATGTATTGCGAAGGCCTTACGGCCGGTGCCGCCGACCCTGAAGACGAAGCTGTCTGTGACGCCGTGAAGGCCGAAACGTCGTATATGCTAAAACTGTAAGTTTCCGATGGGCAAGTAATGAGTGTGGCCTCTTGGGCCCTTCTTGGGGGTGCTCTTGGAGGGGGCCTGGGACGTCTTGGAGGCTTCTTGGACGGTCTTGGGGCTATCTTGGGCGTCTTCGGCCGATCTTTGGGCGACTCGGGGCACTCTTGGGCCGTCTCGGGGGCCATCTTGGGCATTCGGACCTCATTTGGAGTGTTTTCGAAGTTTCGAGGCCGCCCGAGGAAAAACGAATCGCCCCCCCCCCCCCACCCCCTCCCCGGGACACCCCCGGGGACACTCCCGGGACCCACCCCCCCTCCCTGGGGAAGGGATCGAAGGGAAGGGGCTTCCCTTCGAATCTACAACGACATGACGGCAGGAGGGTACGGCCCAAAAAGAAAAAAGGGGGAAGGAAGAAGGGGGGGCGGCGAGGAACGGACGAGGAAGCCAATCGCACACGCCGACAGGGTCGCCGGATTTACACATATGCATAGACATAAGTACAAACATTTACATGTACATATACACGTGCTTAAACATATGCATCTACACGCGTACACATGCACATACATTCTGTTGGCCAGCGCGGACACCACATTGTGTGTGTGTGTCTAGCAATATGAATTGTGCAAGCCTTGTGGAGCAATCTACGTGAAGCATCCGACGTGGTGCAACTTATACTGCGCAGCCGATTCGGTGCGATGTATGTTGTGCATTCTATGTCGTGCAATAATTGGAAAATCTATTTTGTGTCACCTCTGTGGTTCAAGTAACTCATGCTCACTCGTGAGTTGTCAACTCCACTGCTCGCGCAATCATTCCACCCACCCGCCCGCAACTTGGTTTGCATAACCCATGCGGGGGCGATTGCGATGAGTGCTTGGCGCTGGCTGGCGCATCGCTGCGGCCGGGCTAGCGCGCGCATGATCGCGCGCAGAGCGGCCAGATGGTGTGGCGCGACCGACGCGGCCGCGGTGGTGCTGACCGCTGTCGGGCTAAGACGGGGGAATTTCTGTGCGAGTTGGTGATTCGTGCGGGCGCGGTATCATGGTGACGTTGACAACGGCAGACGCGATAATGATAGTAGCGATGATGGTGGCGATGGTGGCGATGGCGACGGCAACGCCAATGACGGCGTCGATGCTGATCACGCCGATGACGATGATGGTGTCCACGTGTCGGTGGTGAGGGTTTAGGATCGATTTTGGCATGCGCGCGCGGCCGGCGGGCGCGAACGGCCCGCGTTGTACTGTATGATAGGGATCGCTTCCCTCTGGGCAAGCGCACAAGGGCGTTTGATTCGTGGCATGCGCGCGCGAGGGGGCGCGCGTGCAGTTTCTGTCATCGTGTACCAAGGGGGGGGCGATAAGGATACTCAAATGAACAATGGGCCAGAGTCGTATGTGCATGTGGCTGTGCCAAAGAGTTCGGAAGGTCTGGGTGGGTGGGTGGGTGTAGACCCAAAGGCTTCCCAAGAGGCTACCACGAGGCTTAACACATACGCAAAGCGGGCCCGACACGGCCCCAAACAGGTCCCAACAAACTTCCTGAATGGCCCCTGTAGTTTTGATTTCGAAACGTGCAAACGACCGCGCGCTGTAGCGTCCAAGCCCGATCATATCCGAACCTAGGAGCAAATTGGTGCGGGGGTGGTCAGAAATCCGATGTTCCCCAAACCGTATTTGCATTTAGGGGTTCTTTCTTGTGTTCGGAGGAAGTGGGGGCTTGTATACCTGGCTGTTCCGTTCTCGCCGTCGCCGCCTCGTCGCCGCCTCGTCGTTTGGGGGGGTTTGTCGTTCTGGCGGCTCCGCCGCCGCCGCCGCCGCCGCCTCGTCGCCGCCTCGTCGCCGCGCGTCGTCTGGGCCTGATTGCCAGTCGTGTGGCTCCGTGGTCGCCGTCGCCGCCCCGACGCCGCCGCGTCGCCGCCCGTCGTTTTGGGCCTGGGTGTCGGTTTGGCGGGTCCGTGTTCGCCGTCGTCGCCTTTTTTTCCGCAGCTCTTTCACCGCTTAGATTGTGCAGCATTGATTGCACCACGTAGACTGCATCGTATAGA